TCTTGACACAAATGCTAGTTTCCCTCATTTTCAGAGTTTGTGTACCTTTCCCTTTTTACTGATGGCTGCTTTGATTTTAGCAACCTTTCGATCGAGCTCCCCCTTTCCCCTAGACGACTTCACACACACGATCTTTAAGCTGTTCACTTGAAAAAACCTAGCTCAGATCCTGATCTTTGAGAGGACCGGATTGCATTGTGAAGACAAGACGTTGGGTTGTTGACTGTTTCTATGTCTGTGTTCTCACCACCACAGAAAAAAGAAAGCAAACTACTTAGCCAACTGAAGAACCACCAATAGAGAAGATAACTGAGTAGGCTGGCGTTTCAGAAACGTACGGTGGTGACCTAACCAAGGCTGCGAAGCCTGGGTTAGCAGGGATGGCCAGGAACACGGAGGAACCCCAGACCATCTGACACTGGGGGTGACTCATCAGTAGGCAACCCCAACACAGACGGGCATGTACATTGCTCATCGTCCTGATGGCTCCAGCAAGCCCATCGTGGTGCTTCCTGTAGAGCGTGAGACTCGCTGCCTGGGGATGTTCCCCTCCCAGGGCAGGCCAAGTCGTCGCCAGCTGACCAATGTGCTGGCTGCCTCCTGTTAGCTCAGGAAACTGAGCAGCAGGCTGAGGGAGGTAGAAAGGACCTTAGGAGACCACCTGGTCTCGCCTGAGGCCCTGCTGGGGGCCTTGCACAACAGATCGTGATTCACTCTGAGCATTTAGGCAAGACATCTGAAAAGCTAAGTGACCGCATCTGTTTTCTGAGCTGGTGAGAATCAAGCCTTCTAAAGGCGTGTGTGTGTGTGTGTGTGTGTGTGTGTGTGACAGGCTCATACATGCTTTATAGAGCCAGAGGACGTGTGACATCCCTACCTTTGGAAGGCCTGATTCTCATGATCTCAAAAAACAGATGTCTGTGAAAGTTCACAGAGTCTTGGTAACATAGTGGTTTGAACACGCAGCTTCGTGAACCGAAAGGTCAGAGGTCTAGCCCACCAGCCACTCTGAGGGAGAATCATGGCCACCTGCTTCCAGAAAGATTTACAGCCTTGCAAACTGCCTGGGGCAATTCTACTGTGTCACAGGGTTACTGTAGGTTGGAATGGACTCAGTGAATGTGGGTGGGCTGCTAACCGAAAAGCTGCAGGTTCGAGTCCACCCAGCGGTGCCACGGCAGCAAGGCCTGGCCAGCTACGGCTGGAAAGTCATTCCCTGAAGACGGTCTGAGCACGGCCCTAACCTGACACACACACGGCTGCCCTGAGTGGGGAGCGGTCGATGGCAACCGGTCTGGTGTTTGTTCTTGGTGACTTCATTCGTTTGCTTCCTCCCCACCGGCTGGAAACAAGTCTCCCTACTCAGCTACCCCACTGCCCTGATTGTCTCCCCGTAGGGCGCTAGCCCAAGCAGTTGAGACACAATCCCTAAATGATTGCAAAGGGCATCGCCCTTGAATGTTCCTCTTCAAGCATCTGAGAGAAGCACGGCACAGCTCAGCCCAAACCCATCTCTTCAGGTGGTTTTTAAATGCATCCACATGTACTTGCAAGCTCAGGCCTGGTTCCTCCCATAGCGTCCCCATCACTGGAACGAGGGAGGGGCTCTGCCAACCCTGGGCTCCCAGAGTAGCCAACTCTGAGTGGCCTGCACAAGGACAGTCAACTCTGAGTCTGGGGCATTCCAGTGACACCAACTGTATAGCTGTGCAAGACATGCGTAGGCAGCAACTCCAAGTCCACGTGATGGGCCCATCCGGAGCAGCCCTGCTTTCTGTCCCAAGCCTGAAATTCATTAATGTGTGCTTTAAAGACTGAGCCAAGCCACCTCCAGGGCAGTGAACCTTGTCCCAGGGACCAGATGAGATGCACAGCTCAAATTGAAAACATTTTGCACATTACAGTCTTTCCAGGAAGTGTTCCCTAACCACTGAGCTAAACACAGAAGAATGTATAAATATATGTGCTCTGCCAACAGAATTCCATTTTATCTTCCAGTTTCTACCATGTCTAACTCTTTCTCTCTTGAGAACAGATTCTGAATGTAAAGTGAGCTAGTTATTATGTTCTTTTAATAGTCGTAACATTGCCAATATCTGGTCATTCTTTCCACTAAGGTATATGTTGGGCTGTTTGCTCCCACACTGGGCATGCTCACAGTCCGGTCAACTCCATCACGATGATCTAATCCTTCATAGGGGGCAGCGGGCCTGGGCTGTGTTCATGATAGTGGTACGGAGGAGTTAAAGACCAACTGAAGAGTCAAAAGGAGCCCGGCTGGTCTATGCAGTGGGTTATGTGTTGGGCTGCTGGTTAGAGCCTGGCAGCCACTCTGAGGGACAAAGACGAGGCTGTCTGCTCTTGTAGAAAGACATACAGTGTCCGAAACCCTAGGAAGAGTTTAACTCTGTCTGATAGACAGGATCACTTGGACTCGGAATCCATGGCAGTACACTAGGTTTTGTAGATGAAAAAGCAGGCTATTAATTGGCACTCCATGGAAGAAATGGATCACCAGGAACCTTTATTTCAGGAAACACAGCTCCCAACCACATGCACACAAGGAGAGGCGAAAGGCATCAACAGGGCATGGGAACCATCTGCTTTCCATCAAAAAGGGCGAGGCATCAATGCCAAAGAGCCACAGCCCAGTACTACAGCCCAGCCCCACGGCTGTACGAGGTCTCCTTTGAATGCTGCTGCTGACAACGGACACTGAAAGTGCCACGGGCAGCCAGAAGAATGAGCACATCTGTCTAGGAGAAGCACAACCAGAAGGCTCCTCACAAGCAAGGATGGCGAGACTCCATCCCACCAACTGTGGACATGGTCTCAGGAGGGGCCAGTCCCTAGAAGACACTATGCTTGGCAACGTAGATGGTCAGCAAAAAAAAAAAAAAAGGCAGGAAGACCATCAATGAGATGACTGGCACCGTGGCTGCGACACTGGGCTCCAACAGCAGGGAGTGTGAGGGTGGCAGGACTGGGCAGCATGTCATCCAATGGGACACAGGGCCAACAGGAGTCGGAACGGACTCAAGACACCTTTTAAGTTTATCTTTGTTTTCAAACGACAAAATGTAGAACCCTAAAAACAAAAGAATAACTTAAATGTACATCCACAGCTTAACTTTACCTGAGTTTTTAGAAAGGAAAAAGGAATCCATTAGCTAAAATTTTGGTCATAGTAACCAGTTTTCTGGATGTTATAAAGTGCTGGCAAGTCAGCTAAAACTCACAGAGGGACACGGCCACCCCAGCTGATGCAGTGTCCGAGCCCACTGTGGAAGCTATGAGGTCATCTAGCTCGCGAGGGTCTTCCTCTTTTGTGCTGACCCTCTACTTCACAAAGAAGGGTCCTTCTCCAGAGACTGCTTCCTGCCGATGATGCGTCCAAAGGATGTGCGGCCAAGTGTCGCCATCCTCGCTCCCAGCTGCACCGCTTCCAGGGCAGACAGAGTCCTGTTACATCGTCTACTTGCTCATAAAATCTCCGACTCTCGCCCCCTCTTTGTAGTTTTGACCTTTGTTCCATGAGGCAAAGCAGGAGGAGTTTGATGATGTATGAAGTTAGAACAGGAAAAAATGCAATCCTTTGATATTTTTATATAAACTCTGCTATCTGCATAATTGTCATAAATCCTTTGATGTTTTTACACAAACTGTTAGATCTTTCCACATAACACATGATCATTTTCTCAGGAAAACCAGAAAAAAATGAACTGGAGGGATGGTTGGGAAAGACAGAGCTATGACTCGGCAGCACCTGTGAATTTGAAAAGTGCTCTACAACGCCCAAGAGCTGCCCCCAGATTGATGCTTGGGGGCATGAATACATTGTGACAAGGCAGCAGATAGGCTGCTCTTACCGAAAGTATAAAACGTTCTTAGCCAGATTTGCCAGAAGCGCGCACGTGCACACACACACACACACTTCTGCAAAGAGTCATGACTTCGAATGTTAACTCATGCTGGATCTGTATATATATACTGAACATATTCTAAGTATCCACCTGTAGAAAAAGACAATTCACGAAAAGAGTATTTTTCAGGGTGAGACAATTCCTACAGACCCAAAAGAAGCTTTTCCAGACTATATAAGAATAAACAGGGTGACCAAGTGCCCAGGAGTCTAATGCTTACTCAGAAAAAGAACCAGATGCCAGCCTCTGGAGGAAAAGCAGGCATCTGATGAACTGGTGAGGGCAGATACAGACAATGAAAAAAGACAGAGTGGTCAACCCCCAACTCCACTAACTGTTCATTTCCACCATCTCCTGGGGTCATGTCTTTGTGTCCACCATCAGCCTTTGGGAGTTATTTTCTCACAATCTCCTCTCTCCATGTTCACAGACTGTCTTGCTTTGCCATTTCTAAAATGT